CCAATAGATGCAGGAAAAAGAGTGAACATGTAAGGGAATACAAAATTTCCCCTTTCCAACTGGTGGTACCTTTATCCAGGACTGAGTCTCCTTCTTCAGAACTTTCTTAAGGCATGAGAAAATGAAGCAGATCTGGTGACCCAAATTTACAATTTTTTAGAACTAAAGGAAAAGAAAATATCTTTCATGTTCAAGGAATATAAAAGACTCAGTAGTTGATAACTACTGCAGAAGTAGTTAATTCTTCCTACTGGGCTTGATTGTTTCAACAGTCATTTACCACTTGAAGTCAGAGTATCACAGAATAATATGCAATAAACAAGAAATAAAGCAGCTGATTCTTGCATAGAAAAATACAAGACCACCACCTCTCTTCTCCACCTTAGTAAAAACCAGCGGAGTTTATTACATATAAACTCTTCTGGATAAACAAAGAATTAATTATGTTATTTTTTGTTCTGTCAACTTATGAATCTTAACAGTGGACTTCTCAAGCCATAGAGGTGCTATACGGAAGCTTATCTGCATACTGTACATGAAATACCTGAATAAGAAGTGTATAAACAGTGGCAGCAAGTTTGTCTCACTGTCCTTGAGGGGGGAGTTCATAGTTTTGCAATGACATTAGAAAACAACATGGCTGTAATTTTCAAGGGATGGAATAAGTTACATTCTGTCTTCTAAAATAACATGTATTTTAGTATGGAAAGTTAAATGGTGCCTACTGCATGTACTAAATATATATTGAGAGTCATGGTAGTGACTGGAAGCCAAGTTTGGGAGACAGAACTGCTGTCTTATATACTCACACATGGCCCAACTCTCACAAAGAGGCACTTTTATATTGGGATGGAACAATAAAGAGGGCTTGAAGTGGCTGTAAACATAAATGATGAGTGTATGAGAATCATGACCACAGAGTTTATTTTACAAATGCAGAATACAGGGACACACGATGGGCATATGATAGATTGCATGGCCATATGTTTAACAAATAAATGCATCATAGGCCTTTGGAATTCATCATACAATTTGGACTGGATGATTTGTCTACGAATCACTCTCCCTTGGCACTCTAGATGTCATGATTTGAGCACTCTAGATGCCACAGACAGCTTTAAATAGTTGCAGTTAAAAATTAACAAAAGAAGAAATATTTCCTTTTTCCTTTTATATATTTAGAATATTTTCTCCATATTTTACCTGCCCAGAATAAGTTTCAGTTCTGGACCAGCAGGACATTTTCTGAAGATAAAAATGGAATGAGTTCAAAGTTTAGTATTCTACAGCCCTGTCACTGGAAAAGAAAAAAATTTCAGTTGCTCGGTGAGAAAGACAACATTCATTTCGGTTCTTAAAGATTTCAATCTTAAGGAAAAAAAAGAAAGTATTACATGTAGAAAAGACATTTAAGGACATTTGGAGAGTCCCTGAATCCTAGGTTTTAGTCTGAATGACTGAATTTCTGGTAACGAAGTCATCTGCCTGTGAAAGAGGATGGATATTAAAACAATCTGCTGGTGCTTTTAAAATGCTAAAACTCAGACTGATAAACCTTTCTAGCAGAACACATCTTTCTATAATGGCACTAAACCTGACCTACTCCTATGCACTTGTTCTTAAGCACATACACCAGCCATATGCACTAATTTCCACACCTTGGACATATCTGCCGTAAATATACAGGCAATACCTCTGCAAGGTAACAGTCAACCCAACATTCTGTGACCCTTTGCAAGAATGCTTAGAGTAAAAATTTGAGCGTACATTTGGAAGATGCCATCACAGTGACATCACCTACAAATATGATTTTATCTTAATTTTCCTATGTGTGATGAAAATGGTTTTAAAAAATCTAGAAAAATATATTTATTACCTTTTTATACAAAACACTCAGTAAACTAAGTTTAATTTTATGGCGTTCTTAAAGAACTGAAAATCTTTGTGTAAGTGTGGTATCCATTAGCTTAACATTAACCCTTAGCATTATTCTTAACTGGTACCTACTGCAGATATGTGACAACATCGTCTCCCTCTGGTGGTCAATATAAAAAAAGTTTCATATGGCTACTCAGTAAAATATGTGCACCAGGCAGCTTAATCTATTTCTAATTCACTGGATTTCATATGGGTTAAGCACATTCATCAGGTATCAGAACAGGCTTAATCATATATTATACATTTGTCCTTAATTCCTAAGAGCACTGAATGTCACTGAAATTGGAGTTGTAATACTGGAATTTGTTTTGATTTATAAACTATCTATGCATTTACTTGTCCTGAAATAGCTCAATAATACTATCCAATTTTGTTTTTTGCTGCTTTTTTTTTTTTTTAAATTGTTTTTCACCCCAGATATCTTACCATGAAAGACAATATTTGGGAAATGTTGTTAGGTAGTGAAGAAGGACTCTGAATATATTACATGTGTTTCATACTAACTCTGATAAAAGCATTTTGGTGAAAAACTGTAGTATGGCAGCCAGCTTGTTATCAACTTCTCCATGTCATTCTCATTACGGTTCTAATGTCTCTACAGCTAAAATAAAAGGAGTAAAACCAAGACAATGTCCTTTCATATCACTGCTAACCTAGAGACTCCATCAAACTGACAATAAAGTAACATTTCTTCCTCTCATTGAAAATGAGAGAAAAACTCTCATTCTCTTCTAGAAGCTGAATTGAGGCAACATTAAAAATCCTGGGTCAAAGCCTGGAACAAACAGGGATTCCCCAACTGTACCTCAGTGCTGAGCTGGTGCTCATGGACAAAACTTCCAGTGAGTTCACATTCCCATAATCACACTTAAAGTGCTTAAACACTTTAGCCCCTTGCACACACACTATTAACAGTTGTGAAACAGAGTATCTATGCAATTCCACTGAATAGATCTGGATTTAATGAATGTCACTGCAAGTTCTTTCCCACACTGTGTACAGTAATAGGAGGTTTTAAACATGCTAATATTATAGTATAATTTCTTATAATTAAGATGATTTCTTGTAAAGATGCAGCAATTCTTTTTTGTGTGTGTGTGTGTCTTGTTTTGTTTAATACTATATATGTACTTGGCACTTATGAAATGGTAAGAAACAAAGAATAGGAGCTAGTATAAGAAAGAAATTTTTCTTAAAATTCTGAAAGGCAGAACTGGCTTACTTAAACTGGTCATTAAAATGTTTTACATAGAAATTTCACAGAAAATGTTAATTCTCACAAACATATTTTAGAGGCAAATTCTGCATTGTAATAAAAAAAAAAAAGTAAATTAAGGACAAGTAATGAACTTTTTGAGTTTACACCTAGAGCTTTAGAGTTTGAGATGATCACCTGAAAAGAGACAGACCTTGTCAGGTATGTGGAGAGAGGTCATAGCCGTACTACTTCAAAGCAAGAAAACTTTTTCATCAAAATGTGATTTTGTTGAAAACTTGAGCCTCCTTTAAGCTAAACTGATGTCAGTGCAAAGAACTGCTTTTACAATACACTGTACTTCTTCATTGTACTCAATATAAAAAAATATGTTTCACCACTTCATTATTCCATTTTTATACTAGTCTGAACTCCACAGGGCATGTAACTCTATGGAGTTACAAATAGGATGTAAATAGAGTAATGAGAATGGGTAAATCAGGTTCTTAATCTTCACATTGTGAACACCTACTAACTTTTTTTTTAAAGAGAAGACCTACAATTAAACCATTGTCCTGTCTTAAGAAGCTATTACAAAGCACCTAGCAGTGCAGAGAGTTCAATTCTACTCCACTTTTATTAGAAGACCTTTAGGGTATTAAGTATACTTTCTGAAGCATCACTTAAAACTTATTAACTACATGTCATATTTGTATTAAAAACCGTGAAAACTCTTTTTAGTCATGTTTTACATTATCTGTAGGAATGCTTTCTTTCTTATTCTCCATTTTGCCTACCTGGAAAGGAATCAAGATGAACATGATTATTTGCTTAAGGGTAAAACAATAATTTTTCATTATTTAAATTAGAGTTATGTATTGTAACTCACTCATTTAAATAACATAAATGTCTTAAATCACAGTACATGTGAGGTCAGAACAGTTCTGGGTGTGTGTACCATTGCAACTCATAAAACCTATGTTTATAGTTCAGAATGATTAAAAATACATGTCTTATGGATTCACACTGAGAACTTTCTTCAGAGCAAAGAAGTTTTTGGTAAGTACAATCTCATAGCTGATATTTTAATTATAACTCAGTGACTATTCCTAGTACAACTGTAAAAAGGAGACTTGTGGAACAAGATTTATCTTGAGCAAACAGTGTTTGCATCTTTTGTTACAGAAATAGAACACACACCTTGATTTCCATAGGATGTCACCAGCATCAAGATAAAATTACTCATACTAAGCATCAGGATGAAAGGAGAAATAAAGCCTATGAATCAGTGCATTTGGTACTGGTTCTCAGTATTTGGTTTAGGCCCCTTATAGATCCAACAGATCTTTCTGTTTTTCTCAGCAACTTGATTGATAGCCAAGATATAGAAAGAATCTTGCCCTTCAACTTGACTAGGCCATGCCCAGTTCTAGTTTTGTTCCAGAAGAACAAAACACATGCAATGAGGGAAAAATAGAATATATTAGAGAATGTAAAAGGTTATATGCAGGCTAACAATAAAAAGGAAAAATAATTTTTTGAAGTTTTCATTAAATCTTTAGACAGTATTGAAAGTAAGATACCCTGTCCCCAAAACACACTCTTTGAAACACCAAATCAAATTAAACCATGGCTCAAAATAAAGAAAATATTTTGAAAAAGAACAGACAAATGTATGGATAATCTTTCTGAGGCTGATATATAGATTTATGTAACACAGCATTCAGTTGTGGAGTGTACATCTCACAAATGAGTAAGAACCACAGCCAAAAAAAATCAATAGTTATTAAAAGAGAATGTGCAAGTTCAAAAAAAAAGGAAGCCAAAATCTCAGTCAGAAAAAAAGGTTCTTTTCCAGCAGGGGAGGAAGGAAGGCAACGGAAGAATCAGGGTAGCAGAGGCAACAGGAGATTCAGAGGTATGAAGGTCATAGGAAGAGGCAAGGTCTGTCAGACGCGCTTGGTATATGAAGGGAATGATGCACAACAGTAAACTGTTGGGGGAAAAGAGTAAAAAGATAAAATTATAAACACTGTGTAGGTCAGACAGCAGAATGGCTAGCATGCTCAGTAATGTTAAAGAATCAGATGCCCAAAGGAGGTGTAGGTGCATGGGCACATGTATTAAAATTTGGAATCTCACAGATGGTCTAACTCCCTGGGTTCATGTATAAGCTAACTCAATCCCAGCAGCACAACACCTACCGATATGCAGCATGTCTATGAATTCTGCTTTATTTGGCCTGAATGTTAATTCTCCAGAAGGTATAAGGTAGATGATGTTAAAGATTCAAGTTAATCCTCAAGCCTTGGATCAGGCTGGATGAGTAAGAGCAGTGATGGCAGTATAAGCCTCTAAAGTCACACTTTCAAGTTTTCTTGCTTTAAAGACCATCTCTAAGAAAGAAAAGGCTGGGTCACTTGACAGGTGCTTTCTGAAGCAGTTCACTATGACAGATCAGCAAAATTCCTTAGTAGCTTGTGTTTCTCAATTAATTTAGAACCACATGTAAGAAAATGTAGTTTCTTCTCTGTGAGTTTCTCTACATGTTTTTGCTTCAAGTTAACAAAGTCCAACTCTTAGAGACTATACTAATGACTGTGAAAGACTAGATATGTATCTAAGGTGACTGAAGAAACATTGACTGAATTGCTTGTGAAACTGTCACAGCTTTTGTCAAGTGGCTTGTATCACCTGTTAATATATCAATGATATAATGAAAAACAGTAAAAAGTAGATATGGGGATAAGGCTCTTTTCTGTTCTCTTTGTTCCTTAAAATTAACCTGGTATTATCCATCAAGTAACAGTATACATGTCATCTATACAAAATAACTCTTTCATCCCTTTCAAACTTTCTGGTTAAGTGATGATTGATTATTTTGATCTACAGTTAAAAGCAAAGACATGTTCAAGTCATGATTTCACTTCTTTAAAGACAGAACTCTTTCTGAAATGTAAAAATCAGTCAGTTGTCAAGCCCTTCCTTACCCATTGTGAACCCTGAGTTCACTAGTATTTTGTCCAGGGTCAGAGTAAAGAATTTAACTTCAGACTCTCACTTGTTGAGAATTGTGTATTCTTTTTCAAACAGCTTTTATTTCTTACTGTATTTCTTAATGATGGTTCATAGCAAGCCGAACAAAGGGCTAATCATGGAGGTTCACAGGAATATTGCATTTATTGTAATGAGCTAGTTGAAAACATTTAAAGGCAGCATGTTTTAGTTGCTTGTCTAGGTGCACCAGCCTTTCAACATGTGTGTTCTTTACCTCGAGTAAGTAGCACAGAGCTTACTCTTGATTCATTTACTGGGAACTTCATAAGCTATGTGACGCAACCAAACACCATGCAACAGAGGTGACAATCTCCTTTTCTGCATTCCCAGTCAATCACAGAATCACAGGCCATGAACAATCTGATTAGTAAGATAAGGAAGGAGAAAGGATCCCCAAAACATATCATTTTAGACATGCACACAACATGCAGCTAAGGGTCTGCCAGACCAGAAGTTAAGAAGAAAGGTCATGCAATGAGAATAAAAAGATTAAAGAGCAAAAACTGTGAGGAACAATTGTGCTCTTGTTTGTGAAAGAGATTCTTACCCTCAGAGTCAGAAAAGCCCAAGTATCTTACTAAAGGCCCTATTCATGAATGACTCACACTCCACATAGGTTTGGAAAACTCCATGAAGAGGATGCCACCATCAAGAAAGGAAAATTTCTCAACATGGGTTTCCCAGAGCACAACGGGACACCATGTGTTTGCGGGGAAGGAATGAAGTGTGAGGCATGGTGCCCCACAGACTATGGCAGAACATAATGAACAAGAATTTGAACTCCACACAACCACAGAATTTTAATTTCTGAATGGGCATCTCATCTTGAGAAAGACAAACTGCTGCTGACAGTCACCCACTCAGCAAAGGAAGATCATAGTCCTCAACAGAGAAAGCTGTTTTGAGAGTGATTTCAGAACAAACAGGTCTTTCATCAATAGCTGATATCAGTAGCTTCTCCTCCTTCCCACCTAGTTCTATGAGAAAACACATTTACTGAGGTTAGAGTTAGAATGATTGAAAATTTTGTTCTTTGAATCTACCGCCAAAGCCCTATTTGCACTGCTTGAGGCATTCTCAGGCAATAAAAACCATCATTGCAAAACTCTGTTCTTATACTGCTCAATCGCTACAGTATCTAAGCACCTTTCAGAATGGCATTAGGCAATATAATTAGCATCTATCATACATGCTGCTTTCTCTCATGGGTATATCTATACACATTTCTCCTGTGTAAATCTATACACATATCTTTATCTAAGTAGAGCACAGCACAATTATAAAGCTAAACTTGTCCCTCTCACTGATGCTTTAAGTCTAAAGTAAGTACCCACTAAGCACTATTCTTTTGCTCTCAGTAAACTGAGGATAATAAAAGCTCATGTTATGTTTCCATGTACAAGCTTAATCAAACCCTTTTGGCTAGGATATTGTGTTTGTTTAAGAGCAAATGATCCGGCTGATAAAATCAGAGCTGCATTGATTAAAGGGTATTTGATCACCAAGGTAGATCACGAAAGCATTGCAAAATAACAGTGGTAGAAACTCAAATGAAGCAGAAATATTAATGCAAAGAAGGCCACAATGGATTTTTAATAACGAAAACATTGTAGGCAAGTTGATGGTATCTAGCAAAAAAAAAAAATAAAAAATTATGATGTGATTTCTGTGCATATGCTGGTAAAAACAAGTTAGGGTTAATTCTCAGTAAGACTCAGACTTTCTGTTTCTGTTAGAATGTATTTCCTTATTTTCCTTCTCTGCCCCCAATAAAACATCAATCTGTATTTCCTCAGCAAGATATGAAAAATAATGCTTTAGATTTAGCTGGTATCCAACAGCAAACACACTGACATTAAAGTATCAGAGTAACTGCTACCTGCAGAATAATTTTGGTAAAGAAAATGTCCTGTGAAAGACGTTTTGTCAAGTTAGCAGCTAAGGGAAACATTTCTCTATCCCATGGTTAGGAGACACCCTCCTAACCTTCAAAGGAACTGTGCCCATGAGATGCCTTAACGTGAAGATCTTTGTTGCCTTTACAGGATCTACATGGGTGTTCAGGGCAAGCCCACAGGGAACATAATACATGATCAAAGACTTGGATTGTGTACAAAGATTTAAAGACAGTCAGTCGATGGATAAGAATTAAAAAGTAGCATAAAACCACGCTTTTCACAAATACAAAAGTATGTGGAAAATATCATATTTCTTTGTCTGATAACTGTTTATGCCCTAGGGAGAAGGACAAAGGACTACCCAGAGGTGGCAACGAAGATGTATCCATTAGGACAGGAGGGCCTTTAACAATACGCAGCTCCTGTAAATGGCTCAGTTTTCCCAAGGGAGACACCCTGTAGTTTTGGACCTAGACTAATAGACCTGTTGACTCTCAAAGGAACTCATCTCTGGAGAGACAGAGAAAATGTTAGCACAGAAAAACAAACATGAAGAATTAATACAAGACAACAGATTTTTGCTTCCAGCTGCACAAAGTCACAAGGTCTGATGGTTGTTTTTAAATGCTTCCATACAATGGTCAGGTATCATCCACAAAACTGTCTCCAAACAAGTGTTTTGTTTACTTTATATTAATTAGTTACACTGCATTGGGCATTTTAAAAGACAACAGGCTGGAAAAAATGGAAAAAACAGACATGTATGTCTAGAGAGCAGAGAGGAAAGTCTGGAAAAGCTACCCCTGAGAGTAATCATCAAAGGACTGGAAATGCAAATACATGTATTTTCAAACATACGTTTAGGTACCAGCTCTGTTGGTCCTGTAACATCTGCTTCTCTGTAACAGACTGTTGGATCCACAATGTCTCTGTCAGGAGGAGGGTAAGGTGGGGGTGGGGGGATGACTAACTGGGGTGGACCACGAGGGGTGCCTCTAGGAGGCTTTTGTGGCACCTGACGTCCATCACCTACAGGGGGATCAATTGACTAGTTATTTCATTGCAAGATAATGATTGCTCTGTTTATTGTTATTTTTTAAACACACATTGATTTTCCCTTACCCACATCCAAAGTCTCTCTGGATCTAATTCTGCTCTTATTTACCCCCAAATAATTAAGGGAGAAGGAAAAGCTAGGTCTTTCTTAAACCATCAGCAGTGGGATCAGAATTAAGCCCAGCCATATATATATATATATATATATAATGACTAACAGTTAAAATAATCAGTTTTGGCAGATACAAGGAGAAAAAAAGTTTAATAAAAAAACAAATTGGAAAAAGCTATGTAAGGAAATGTGAAAAATGTGTTTTATCTCCTTAAGTGCCGAACTGCCTGAATCTGTTGACTGTCAGGATACTTTACGTGACTATTTTCCTGAGTCTTTGAGAGAAAGAGGAAGATGCCTCAGGTCAGTATTTTGAAGTAGGTATCTTGACAGGTTTTCCTTTTCTTGTTCTGAGTAGGATTTTTACTATTTTGACATTGTGGAAAAGCAGATGATTAAGTTGGTTTTTGCAAAACAGTATTTTATACTATCAAAGGAAATGCTCATAACTTTGGCTGGGGGCTTATTTCAATTCTATGTGCAATAACTTAGTAAGTACATGCATCTTTACACTATACTTTGTTAACCATTTGCAATGTTAAAAAGTTGCTGGCAGTTCGTAGTATACAGACCTAGAACTATTGCAGCTTGGAAAGTTCTCTGAGGCTGCGAGTGCGCTGCGGAACCATGACTACCTGCTCGTTCACACCCTGCCTTAAGCATCTGCTGTGGTCATTGCTGAAGAGGGATGCTGGCAGAGACAGACCTCTGATCTGATCCATTCTGATCATTCCTATAGTCTTAAGCTTATGCTCTGGTGCTGCTGAGAAGAGAAGCAGCACCAAGATGTAGTAAAAAAGGTTAAACTATTATGATTTTCTGCTTAGGAGTCACCAGCTTCCAGAGATTCAAGACACAATTTAATGCTGGCAAATGTGCAGACCCTTTTTTACTGCTCTGAGAAAACTGGGCACAATACTTTGGGGTCACAATAAGTGATTCAGTATTGAATACTGAAGTGTATTTGCCAGCTTGAGAATATTTTCGACAGGACCTTTTGCGTTGATTCATGTGGCTAATGTAGGAGATGCATAGGTAGCTTTAATCCTTTTTTTCCATCATGTGGTTGCCTATTTCTTGCAGCACGTTTTTCCCCTCACTACAGTCTTGCTTTTTTCACAGCTTTTCTCTCTTGCTTTCAGAGCCATCTGTGCTTTCTCATCGTTTTCTTGCAAGGGCCCCAAAGAGAGGCTGTTTCACCAACCTTCCCTTGCTGTAACATTTTTTCTTGTTAATGAATGCATTCATTCAAGAAAGTAGCAGAAAATGAAAAACACTGAAGATGGGGCTACTGTGGGACAAGTTCTTTGAAGGTGTAAAATCATAAGGCTCCATTAAAGTAAATGATACTACAGAATCCCACCCCAGCAGTCTGGCCAGTGAGCACTTATATACACAGTACTGAACAGACTAGAAGTGGCTCTGCTCTGCTTTATTTCATCTGTAACATTCTGAGCACTGATACAAAATAAAACGAACACTTACAAAAAGTTAAAGCACCAAATGCCACATCAATAAGTGACCAACAGTAGGGCAAAGCATGAGGAACGACAGACTGTGACATCTACAATGGTTAGAAGTAAGCCAATTTGCTGAAAACTCCTGTATATGGTACAATGATAACATTCCCCTTAGAGGGTTTAAATAAGAGATGTCAATGGAGTCATACATGTCACAAGATAATGGACTCCTGCTGCTATATAAATGCTGAGGCATTAGATGTGAAGCATTTACTGAAAATAAATGTTGGAACAAAGCCAAGAGGTTTCTTTCTAAACTGTGAGGCATTTGTAATGTAAGCAATTATGTATGACAGGATGTCATATCTGTATGTCTTAGGCACTTTATGAAACATGAGGTCAAAGGCATGAACTGAAGTGCACAGAGTGCACTATGGCACTTGAAGAATGATTCTCTTAATGTACTGAAAAATGAGTTCCAATATGTGGGGTTATTACCTCCTATCTTTACCCATCATAAAATCACTTTGTTTGCTAAAGCATAATCTCGGGGTCCTCACTCGGGCAAAGCTCCCACTGATCTGAATAAGCTAGCAGCCAGGTAACGACAGAGGTCTGGGAGAACGTTTTTCAGTCTTTCTGCATGAGAGCAAATCACATACAGCTGAAGGCTAGAGTTTCTTTAGTTGTCTCCAGCTATGTATGGCACCCCTTTAAGAGCAGCAGGTAATGTTCTACTGATTAGCTAAAGACACAATAGAGGTTGATGTACAATAAATCTGAGGACTAAATTCAAAAGAAAAACTTCACTGAATATGGTCAGTTGACGTTAAACTGTTGGAGGACTACAGGAAGAGAAAATGTCTAAAGACTTTAGGAACATGAGGAGATACTGAACCAGCTTGACTGTACTTCAGTTCCAGCAGAACCCCATGGCTTCAGATTCATTCAGTATTGTCTGGACTACCTCCATTTACTAGCATTTCCATTTACTATTTCCATATTTCCATTTACTAGCAAAACCACTATGACCTTAAAGGCACAGAATAGGCCCAGGGCTAGTGTCTTTGGATATCCAGCTTTTAACAAACATTCAAATCACTTGATGAGTGTTATCTACCTTTTGCTACCCTATGATACTCTGAACGTTGCCATTAAAAACAAAAAGGTAATAAATATTATTTCCAGACTTTCATTCTGCAGACAAGTGCTTTTTTTCCCCCAAGTTACAAAAGTTTCTGAACTCACAGCGTAGCAGAATTAAGGAAACTTTGAATAGTGAGCACTGGAAGCACATGCATAGGATTACACAGGAGGAAAGAACGCCTCTCACCCATTGTGCTCTTCCTCTTGTCTTCCCTCTCTTCTGTCCTGTTCGGCATGGCAGGAGTGGGTGGAGCAGATGCAGCTGGTGGAAGAGGGGCACGCCTCTTCTTTTTCTGTAAATCATTCAGGGATGCTCCTTGTGAAATCTAGCAAAGTTGAAAAACAGGCACAGAAAAGGATATGTTTTGTTGATGTTGTAAATTGTGAATAATAAAAAAAAAGTGATTGTCATATGACCTAATTTCTCAGCACAGTATTTTTATAATAAACATTTATAGTGACAAAAGGAGATTAGAAAGACAGATCAGAAGACATATAGTAATACTGCATTCAGAGAAGGAAAAGGACAAGAACTGCAGATGAATGTCACAGCAGAAATACCAGTCTGGTAGACCTTTGATGTTTTTGGTAAAAGGGAACTAGGGAGCCCAAGACTCAGCAATGCACAGTGTGACACTACATGTTGTTAAGCTTAAGCCATAGCATGATCTTGTTTTTCCATTGATTTCTTCAGACCTTTAATTATGGTTAAATAGTCCAATTGGTATGTGTAGGGAATAAACTGTCTCTCTTTTATTTTCCTCTCAAATTCTTCTTTAAGGACTTCTGAGAGAAGAATCAGAATTGAAAGTTTGCTTGCATGATATGAGATCATACTGTACTCTATTTCTGTCTACTGGACTTCACAGACATACTTTTGCAGATCTGTAACACCTCAGCTTCCAATAATTGCAACATGCTGGTTGGCAAGCCAGACTTCATTACTGTTTACTCAGCTTTTAAAAATACAAAAAAATTCATTACAAGTGACTTGGGTTTCACTGGGCTGCATAATATTTTCTGTAGCTTGTTGGAACTTAGCTCTATTTCCTTTTACTGGAAAAAAAAAATAAAACCAAAACCAGGTAGGAAAATCTGTTGAAGTTTTATATTTTAAAGGTACTGACAACACTAGACAGAACCAGTCTTAGCTGAGGCAGAGGGTAACGGGAGCTGCCCACACACAGCATGCTGTTGGCATTCCTCAGTCTTCACTTGCATGACTTCACTGCTCTGTCTGTCCTGATACTTCCCATAGCTGAAGATACCTAATATACAGAACTGCCTTGTGGTTTTCTAATATTTCAAAGGCCCAAACAATAATAATAATAATAATAATAATCATCATCATCATCTTTTATTTAATCCGGATGATTAATGAACCCTCAAAATACATTTGTTGTGGGAGATTTCACTGAACAAATAGTAGCTTCACACTGCTCAAAGCTATTATCAGATTTCAGGGGAAAGGCACTCATTTATATGCATCCTTTCTTAAACTGAGTGAAAACACTGAGAATAAATGAATTTTACAAAGAGTAGGACATGAATAGAGCCTCCTTCACTTAGCCTTCCTTTTTAAAAGCACTTGGGAGGGTCTTAGCTTATAAACCACAAACATTCAGTTTCCACCTTTCAGGATTATGCTTTAACCACTGTGCCACAAGACAATTGGACACTCTCCACCCCTTCTTGGTGAACCTGCATCCTGCATATGAAGAAACTTGGCAGTAACTGTTCTGGACATAAAAGCACATTAACCAGGACAAGCTGCAGCTTCATAGCAGTTTCTAAAAGGTGGGGGAGATGGAGGGTGGGAAAGATGTCCTGGTCTTACTTATTACCATGTATTATTTCTGCATTTTACATTAAATTTCCACTGGATACAGAGCACGATTGAAGCCAATGAGGCCAATCTAGGTAAAGTTAGGCATAGTAAATTGGCAAGAAAGTTAATAGTAACTAGTGATTTTGCAGACTTCAATTTTGGTCACCAAACATCATGGAATTTGAAAAAACAGACTTACACCCAGAAAAGAGCACCAGGTCAAATTTTCAGAAAGGGATACAGCAAAATTTTAGAGCTCCTCTGAAAAACTTTTGCCCAAAGTTATGGTGTTGCTCTATATTAAGATGGGGCACCTCTCCTGATGATGAAACTGCCTGGAACGGACTGAAGTCGAATCCCCCTCCCCATTCTTACAGAATCAGAATGTCCAATATTGAGCTGAACACTGGAAACTCTGTTTAGTGTAATAGACTCATCAGGCTTTGGTTTACAGAGGAGGAATTACATGGAGCCCAGCTACCTAATGCTGCATTCTTCTCCATGTCTGTTTGGGGCAATTGGCAAATAGGCACTTGGAAAAAAAATCACATTCTTCTGCACTGCATTTTAAATGACTAAAGACATGCAAGCATTTAATATATTGTATTTTGATTCTTCAGGATACTACCTAGAGAAAATTATCTAAACTAACCTGACTACAAAGTCTCCAAAATTCAGTAGCTATGGAGAACTTGAATCGTCTGGGAGACAGGCAGCATCTGAACTTCCCCTGGCAGAAGCATCTGAACTTAAGCACAAGCCAAAACTTTTGTAGTTATTTAATGGGATTTTTCAGCTTCCACATTCACTCCTGTTTCTCCTAACAGAAAGGTCATTTTATTTGAGGACAAAAAAATGGATGGACCGGTGACTTAAAAGATAATTCTAGGCAATCTTGAGAATCAAGGCAGAAAGTTAAGGGAATGCGTGGTTCCACTTGAAATGACAGAGATCACTTATCACCCTTCCCCAAGGACCAGATGAGTGAAGGATGTTAGCCTGGTGTAGTCAAACTCCTCAAAGATACATTACTGATTTACTAAGAAAGGATCCTTGCTAGAAGCCATCTTATCTTTTTCAGCTCTATTTAGTTGAATCTTCTGAGAAAACTAGACAGATGTATGGATGAACACACTGCTACAGCTAAAGGAAAAGCTAGAAAATAGTTAGTGCACTACTGCAATAATGCAAGTTTGGTCAAATACAAAAATAAAATTGCTTTTATTATACTGTCAACTAAGTGCAGTATACTTCACAAACACCATAAAGAAGATGAAAAGCTTGTTTTAAAGCCAGCCACACCACAATGTATGTAAGAAGTGTCTAGTTCAAGAACAGGTCATAAAAATTGTTAAAAGTAGTTCTTTAATGCCAATTTTGGTAAACCTGTGAGGCTAAACATAAAAGAAAAAAACACAAAGAACATTCTGTTTCTTTCTTGTAATTGTATATACCAAAACAATAGAACTTGAAAATAATTTGTTATGGCTGGCTGCTTCTTTTATAGAGAAATCAAGCCTTAACAACATTATCTGAAGCAATTTTCCATCCAAACTTTGTTACAGGAGTCCCTCTTTGAATGTAACAGAATATTTCCTAGTCTTAGCACTTATGCTTCACCTGTGTAGCATTTTTAACAATAAGAAATTATTAGGTCAGCTTCTGTTATGCAACGAATACATAATTTTTAAAGATGTTAATAAATGTTCTCTAATTAATACCATCCACTGAGCTAGAAATTAATAAAGTGGGTCAAAAGGACCTAAGTCTGACAAATAGTGTCACTTCTGTTCCCATATTGATAAGATCACATATGACGGAAAAAACAATTTTTCATTAAATTCATGTCATGGATCACATGCTGTTTGAAAAATACTTCCAATATTGCAGACAAAATATCTGAGGAACATGCTGAATGTATTTTCCTTCCTTGAAGACTCAACATATTTATTCAAATTTGAGGGCCTTAGATTTTAGAATATGTCTATAGCATAACAATGTCATGGAGAGGTTATGTGTCAAAAGTGTGTGGAATAGAATCCTACAAGGCTAATGCTTGAAATTCTCTATCAGTAGCATTTGACACTCACCTTACTTGCAAATTGTCTGTGGATACTGTAAGAGTGGATGCATAAATTGAGTTTCCTCATGCATAAGAGTCCAATATTTTCTCTGGGTTAGGTTGCAGTGAATATGACTTCATGAAAAATATTAATGGAGGCCCAAGGAAACAAAAGCCAGCACCACCAAAATTTCATCAAGCATTCAAAGACAAGGAGGTTCTCAGATAAATTTGCAATGTGAGCTCTGCTCCTTTGCCTCGCCTGTTCTCTACTTACAGGTCAGACACTGCTTTTGTATTTATCAGCTTTTTCCTATTAATCTTTCTAATAGAAATGTTTATCTATGTAAGTACCTGCTAAGTCATCTGGCAAATGCCACATTTCTTTTATTCACAGATCAAACTAGGCCTAAATTTACTGTAGGTTTACTGCTCCTGAAACTGAGAATCCTTCTGTAAGCCAGTAACCATAACAATAATTTGTGCTCCTCTGTCCCTTCTGTGTCTACTAACATTCACAGCACACTTGATGACAATGACTATGTATCTCAGTTGTCTGAATCACTACTTTGACCAAGAAGGAAATCCCACTTTACTGTCTTCAAAGACTGATTAAAGGCTCTGCAATAGCATACTTGGAGAGCCATACATACCCAAGTCTCTTCTGTTAAGGACAGTCAACACACTCTTGCTGTAAGGTAAAGAAAAAGGGACTGGACTTAATGCAACCTTAGAAAGCGTGCATAGTGCATCCTTTTTAAATAACAAAGTGCTGTAATGTTCTCAATACTGCAGTTATATCTTGACAAGTAAAGAACCTAGCAACTACCAAGGTGTTCCAAAATGGTGATATGGCCAGGTAAAAATCCTTAAGCTAACACTAGAAGCCCCGGTGGGTTTTGTGGGCTTGAGGGAAAAATATCATGTGACTTCTAAACTGGATGTTGAAGGCTACTTTGGTGCTACTTTGGGAAGTACTGCCTTTCAAGCAACACGTTTTGCCCATTATTGAATAGCTGAGGCGGATTTGATATGCTTCAAGGACTACAGTGTTGGGACACAGAGACCACAAGAACAAGCCTTATCTTCTTTCTTCTCCCAAGACTGATGTCTGGGGAAAAGAGTGGACATACAAGAGACACGTACTTTCTACAGGACTGAGAAAGAACTTGGAAAAAAGCTGGGTAATCTCAGCTCAGAAGCACAACTAAGAACACAAGTGAGGAAGAACAACTGAAAAATTGACATGGAAAGTCTTTCCTGAACTTGCAAACTAAAAGCAAACAGCATCTTCTTGCTTTACCTGAAATGGGTTTTCCCCAAACAGCTCCAGGTATCTGTGTTGTAGCTGGCATCCACTCTTACTGGAGAAACTCTGGATGATTGATAGACAGATCTAAAACAGTTCTAACTGTGTCTTAACAGAAAACCCCTCA